TAAAAAAAAAAAAAAAAAGAAAAATAACATGCAAATTTCACGATATCGTAGTGAATTCTTTCTTGTTACATCATAAAACGAAAGTAATACGTACGCGAAATATTAGACGGCATAGACAATACAACGGCAATACTATTCAATTACAAGGGAAGAGATGATTACATAATAAATAAAATCTTTCATATACAGGGTTACAAAAATTTCTTGCCATCGTTTTTGTATAGATAGAACGGACTAAACTGTGTCGAAAAGTCCTCTACCACATTGCAATTTTCGCAATGGTTAACGAGATATGAATTTTTTAATATAGGCGAATAAGTGCGTCCGCTCGGCTTACTGCTACCAAGTGTATACGCTCACCGATCGCTTGGCGCTCAGAAAAGACGAACAGCGGAGACTACTTGGTAGTGATTGGCAAGTTCCCTAGGACGACGCGCTTGCCAGTAGGTCATTCCCACTCTCTATTACCCGCGCGCAACGGCGGATATTCGGCGCTTTAGAAATTAATATCCCGATTGCGAAAATTGGGAAATGATTGAGACTTTTCGCGAGCGTAGTTTAATTCTTACTCTAAAACGGTTCGTTGCGCTAACCCCCGATTTTTTAATATTTATTCTACGTACTGATTTTAATAATTGTTATAAATATTTTTTAATTTGGTAAATATTGAGAATGATACGATATGGGTCGAAACGTTTAATTAAACAAGTTATTCAACTACAGTAATCAAAATTTATGCAGAATGAGCTTATAGCTCATTTTTAATACCAATTAAATAAAAAAAACTTTAAAATTGATTAAACATTACGTCAGTCGAATTTTATCCACAAAGACGCTTTTCCGTCTACTTGTGCCCCGGTGGCACGGAGTTATAATTGTTAAAAAAAATCTGAAAAAAAAATGTTTTTTTGAAATATTGAATCACATTACGGAAGTTCTTATCCCGATTAAATTTCAAATATTATTATAATAATAACCACCCTAGTATGTACAAGCACGAATAATGACGTATTATACAAGATCGCGCATCGAAAAATAATTTTTCGTGAAAAGAAAATAATAGAATGCTATCATTTCCACACGAAGTATCGACCTTCTTCGCGTATGCACAATTCAGCCCTTCGAACAGTATTTACGTTAAAAATGAGAGTGGATTAGGCCTACCGGGGAAAACTATAAAAAAAACGCACCATGCTATCTACCGCAAGATGGTGTGGAAATGATAGTGTTCTATTATTTGCTTGTCACGAAAAATTATTTTTCGGCTCGCGATCTCGTATAATACGTCATTATTCGTGTATGTATGTACTAGAATGGTTGTTACTTGTTATTATAATAATATTTGAAATTTAATCGGAATAGGAACTCCCGTAATATGGTTCAATATTACAAAAAAACTTTTCAGTTTTTTTGAACAATTATAACTCCGTGCCACTGGGGCACAGATAGACTGAAAAACGTCTTTGTGGATAAAATTCGACCGACGTAATCTTTAATCAATTTTGAAGTTTTTTTTAATTATTTAATATTGAAACTGACCTATAAACTCATTCTGCGTAATTGATTACTACAGTTAAATAACTCTAATTAAATGTTTCGACCTATATATTGTGTCATCAATTTACCAGTTAAAAAATATTCATAACAATTATTAAAATCGGTATGTAGTATAAATATTAAAAAATCGGGGGTCAGCGCAACGAACCGTTTTAGAGTGAAAATTAAACTACGCTCTCGAAAAGTTTTCAATCATTTCCCAATTTTCGCAATCAAAATATTAATTTCTAAAGCGCCAAATATCCGCCGTTGTGTGCGGATAGTAGAGAGTGAGAATATACTTGATAAGCCGTGCAAAAGCGCTTATTCGCATATATTTAAAAATTCATATCTCGTTAACCATTGCGAAAATTGCAATTGTGATACAGGACTTTTTGACACAGTTTAGTTCGCTCTATCTATACAAAAGCGATGGCAAAAATTTTTGTGACACCTTGTACATGTAATGTTATCTATAAATCTAGAATAAAATTTCATAACAATTATATGCAACTTAAGGATATAATGATTAAGGACAAGAACATTGCGAGGTAATAATTCCCTTGAAAACAAATATCACTTAAGGCTCCTGAGTACTCAGCCAAGAATTCCGTGTTGATGGTAGCGACACCGAATTAGTTGGCGGCCTGGCAAAACTGGTAGTTACGCACAAAAGTACGAGCATGATATAAATACAAGGGTATGCTCGTCCAGTGGTAGACCACTGCGCAGGAGTGGTGGGGGAACTTATATGTTAACGTCATCACCTCGGCTGTTTCCGGAGCGGTTCGTGTAGGTTCGGTTTCTTGAAACAAGGCCGCTATTTATCCAGTCTAACAGCTGATGCATCGTTTTCGATAGTGTTGTCGTATGTGCATCAGTTATAAAAAGAATTATCGAAAATGAGCTGTGCAGTAAAAGGATCTAAGAATTATAACCGGAAAACGAGAAATATGCCAGGAAGAAAAGTTCAATACTTCTCTTTCCCGAAGGATAATGCAATGGTTTTGAAGTGGCTGGAAGTTTGCAGGAAACAAGACCTCTCCGTTGCCAGTACATTCCCGTTGTCCTTTGTTTTTTTTCCTTATATTTCTTTTATTGAAGCCATAAGTTAATCTTATTTCTGACTGCCTATTTAAATTTTCCTCGTTTTGATGACGTCTACTTCGAAAGAATTCTTATTGGTCACTTCTTTGTCACGTGATTTCTAGATGCGCAATAACATACCCTTATATTTATATCATAAGTACGAGCTCATATTTATGCTCATTTTCGAGCCGAAAGCGAGCACACAGAGACATGGGTTCATGCTTGTGTGTGTACAGCGCCTCGCCACGGTAAGAGGCTAAACTAATAGGCATAAAAAAAGTGACGTTTTGACGACAAAACTTTTGTTGCGTGCCATTTCGTTAATATTTGCTTTTTTGTGAAAATGTGACTTGCCTCGTACTTGCAAAAGTCTCAAAAATGGGCGGAAACTACAGTTATCTTAAAATTTTACACATAAAAGCATATATATTTCACTCGTTTTATCGGCTGTGTTTCTGCTCGAGTAGGCTCACTTTACGTGCTCTTTACGACCATTTACTAACTAGTAAAGGAGGAAAGGACAGTTTTCGCCCATTTTTACAAGTGTTTTTAAGCGATGTCGTTATTTACATTTATTCAAATTGTCTTTATTTACAAATGGCACGCAACAAAAATTAACGTGCATTTCTCGCGACGTCACAATTCCGACATGGTCGTCGCGACTACTGAGGAGCCTTAACCATATGTATCAAAGATCTGGGCACACGATAGACTTTATGTTTAAAAATAGCATAATAGGATAACGTAACACTGCTCGCAAAAGTGTCTCGTATACTGGTAACAATTTCATCAGTCTGTACTGCTGACACTGTACAGCGGCATAACTATATCACTACTTTCATATTCATACGCCCTAAATAATGTACATTACGTAATATATTGTTATACTGGTTATAAATTGTACGACTATAACGGAGGAAATGGTTGTATATCACTCAGGTATTTCCTAAGAAATATGCCTAAAACATCAACAAAGTGCCATGCAAAGCGTCGTTTCACATCGAGGTGTTTCACGCAACATGCACAAAGTCGGGTACAAAATTCATTTTTCATTACGCGAGGCGTAAGCGAAAAACTATTAATAACTAAAATTGTATCCTTTTTTCTACATCACGCTTAGATCACTTTTAAAACGTCAACGGCAATAAATATAATAATATAAAATGTCTTTTCATAATTCCTTCAATAATCGCCATACTTATACGTATTTACAAATTGCATCTACAATTAATTAGGCTCGTTAACAAGAAAATAATATACATATTATGTGAAAATAAATTATAGTCATGTATACATAAACACTAAACGATGATGTGAAACTGTAAATTCTGTCTTGATCATTACATAATACATCAAGAAAATAGCAAGACAAAGAAATAAAGTTTATGAAAGGAATACTCTATGTAAGTAGAAAAAAGTATATATCTCTCCGATTGCTATCGCAGTGACAGCAACTGTTGCATCCAAGACAAATCGAGAGCTAAGAAGTATGATTTTGATAAGAATCATATTCGTATAATATTTTTAAATAAGAGAACCAACAATTCTGTTTCATTCTCGATTCGGTATGGATGCATCAATACGATAAATAAATGAGGAACATTATACACAAATTCTAAGATGCAGATTAAAGTGTCCTCAGGATACCACACAACAACACTTTCTACATCTACTCCGCCTTTCCATAATGTTGCTCTTATATCGTTCAGTAACTTTGTAAGCTTTCAACTTTAATCTAACGTTCCCTGCGTGATCACTGATATCCTGACTGTGCGCTGAATTACTTCTCGTTGTATTCTTCGAGGTGTACATCTTTTGCTTACTTTCACAACTTATAATTTCTGCGTCGTGACTTACCGTGTGTATATCTGGGCATATCTTCATCACATGACTATCGTAATCTTGATTTTTAAGAGATTCTATCTGCGTCTCAGTCTTGTATGATGTATCGATGGTTTCCACGTTTATTCTATCCGGATTTATGTCGATTTTTTCACGTCTTCTTCGTAACGTCTGCAAAGAACTCGATTGATTTTCCAATAAAATTTCGGTGCACTGTGTGTTTTTGAAAGAAGGTTCATCTGAAATATTCTGTTCCATGGTCAATTTATCATTCATTCTACCGGGAACAATGTCACTTTGCACATAAAATGTGTTCCTCACGATAGCTTGCGCTTCTATTTGACATTTTGTCTCTTTACACATATCGCATTCATCCTCGATAAATTTTCTATCATCCTCTGCGAAATACAAGTTTTTATTTGATACCAATTTGTTATGATTTTTCAAATATGCACTATTCTCCTTCCCTACTATTCTATCTATACTTGAGCTCAACCTGCTGCCTTCTTCCTCATCTGTCTTGTCACAAAACTCTGACTTTTCTGAACTTATAGCATCGCCACTCAGTGTTTTTGTGCGGCCGTCTGAATATGTGCTCAGTTTGTTTTCCGAATAATTACTCAATCTGTCGTCGTGAAAGTACGTAGAGCTTGCGTTCGACTCGAAGTTACTCGCGTTTATTATTGCTATTCGCGGTATGATTAAATCAGAGGGTAATCCATCGACGATGTCCGGAGGACTCGAGTTCGAGGAGGATCGGTTCGCAAAATTACTGAAGGAATGATAACCCTGCTGCCCCTTACTTTGGACCCAAGCTTCTGTCAAAACGTGAGATCGTTGCCACGACACATCGCTGTTGCATCTGTTTTTTCTTACGCACCATTGATCGTCAGCATCGGACCAGGAACGCAAATGGCACTCGCTAGGACTTCTCTTGATGTCGGAGGCGTCTACTTCCAGATCCGCGTTCTCATGCTTCTTATTTTGCACAATCAGTTCTAATCTAGATTTCAATAAAGCCGGCGATACAGCTCGATCAATGTGTCGCCTTGATGTGTTCGATGTCTGAGTCGATCGCAGCATTGACGTTGCATTGTCACCGCCAACGTTGCTGTCGATGTGATCCGTATATAGATCTTGAACCTCTCCGGAAGTCATCAACGCGTTCGGACTCGGACTGTCCATACTATCTGGCGTGTAAGGATCATGCTTAACAGGTATTGCGTGCAACAGATTAGATGAAATAGAATCTGAGCACGCATTAGAGTAACTATTACAATCAGGCAACATAGACAACAACTCCAGGTAATTGTTGGGCACTCGAAAGCAAAACTCAGATGCAATTGGCAAGTTGCAGCAGTCTATCATACCTGCATCCGAGACGAGAGTAGCCTTCAAGTAGACTGGCTGTAAATGGTAACAAACCTTTATGTATTATTGTGCGTTCTAGTAAGAAAATGATAGTGATTATGAAGGATTTGTACAGAGTGTTTGGAATTTAAATGTCAAAACTTCGGGAGTGTGTAAGAAATCAATAAACTAAGAAAAATGTTCTGTAGAGAAAACTACATTTTGCCTTTTTTTTGCGATTTTTTCTAAAACAAAGCAAAAGCGAACATATTTCTACAGGGCCTTTTTTTAATTTATCGATCCCCTACACGCTTCCAAAGTTTTGACATTTAAATTTCAAACACCCTATATATTGTAGGATTCTATAGAACAGGTAGACGATCTCAAACTAACAATTTGTTTTTAAAGGGATAATGATACACTATAGTAATGTACTTTTCAATCTGTTAACTTTATCGATATAATATTTACCGAATATACGCGCAAAACTTTAAAGAATCCATATTTCAATGAAGCGTTATAATATTTATACAAATTTGATAATCATTTTCCAAGTAGAAAATCATTATTTTTTAGATATTCAAAAATTTATATTTATGTTACATAATTGTATATTGGTAATATTTTTTATAATATTGTGTTTTTTTTATAATATTGTATACTGTAATGCCCGCATCAGATTAGAATTATTAGAGATTAAGATTGAAATTAACCAATCAAAGGAAAGAAAACTAATATCAAGTTTAGTAAACTTTATCTTGATTGGTCAAATTCAATTTCAATCTTTAATCTGAGTATAATACTGCCTATAGAATATAATCAGTATTTTAATTTAATATATTGCATAATAATTAATTATATTGTAATTAACAATATAGTATAACCTATATATGTATATCAATATTAATATTTGTTATAATACAATGTCATCTCTGTGAAATTAGCACATCAACTTTAAAAATCGGAAATTTTAATAACAGTACTGCTTGCATCCGCAATAGTTCTAGAGTTCCTGATAGGTTTCATCAATAGTACTGTTGATTTAGGCCAAAAATTTTAAAAAATAAAAATATGCAGTGCTAACTTTGCGTGGCACCGCAAGATTTGAAAGAGCCGATTGTTATGATGGAATCTCACAGTACTCGAAGAGTACTACAGTTCCTGATCGATTATAACAATAGTACCGGCCACTAAATATTTTTAAATAAATTTTTAAGAAAAGAGCTCGCACCTCAAAAATACCTCTAATCAGCCAGTACTGGCCGACTTTTCGACTTTTCGCGTCGGAACCTGCATATTTCTTCCAAACTATTGTAGTACTGTCGGAAAAAGTCGAAAAGTCGACCCGTACTGGCTGTTTAAAGCATTTTACTCTTGACGTGCCAGCGCGAGGATTGAAAAATTGTTTAAACACATTAAAAAGATGGGTAATGTCACTAAAACTTATCACGAACTGTTATACTCTTCGAGTACTACAAAATGGCACAAAAAAAATAATTTTTTTGAAACTTGAGGTGCGAGCTCTTTTCTTAAAAATTTATTTAAAAATATTTAATGGCCGGTACTATTGTTATTATATAATCGATCAGGAACTGTAGTACTCTTCGAGTACTGTGAGATTCCGTCATAAAAATCGGCTTTCTCAAATCTTGCGGTGCCACGCGAAGTTAGCATCGTATATTTTTTTTTTAAATTTTTGCCCTAAATCAACAGTACTATTGATGAAATCTATCAGGAATTCTGGAGCTATTGCGGGTGCAAGCAGTACTGTTATTAAAATTTCCGATTTTTAAAGTTGAGGTGCTAACTTCACAGAGACTACAATATTCCCAAAATTAAATAAAATTAAAAAAATCATTAGTTGATAACGTGATTGCCGCTTTTTATTATGCTATTATATAATAATTGTTCTCGTGTGCCGTGTAACTAAAATAAAATATTTATATATTATGTATAATGTAATAAAATGTTGTTCACAGTATTTTAGGAAAAATATAAAAGCGGCGTTACAATGCATATTGATAATTAGATTGAAAAAGTACAATTATTCCATGATAACAATGATAATGAAGCTAAGAATTATGATAGAAAGAAACAGATTCAAAACGATGTAGAAGTAAAATATTTTAGGATACTACGTGTGTGGAGGTGCTACATTAAACAAGCCCCTATTATGTTTATTGTCGAGATAACGAAATACTAACAGAATAAAAGACGTGAAAGACATAGGGGATTTCAGATAAGAACAGACAGACAGTTCATAGATAAGTACCTTAATGCTTAGAGATTCATTCGAAACTCCAGAAAAACAGGCTGCATCATAATAATTGAAAGAATGAATCATCAGAATAAGAACTAGGCAGTGTGTAAGTATATGTTTCCAGCATAATAAGTAAAAAAATGTCGTAGTATCGTTTAATAAATGTAAGAGAAAGATGCTAATTGGAAAAAACTTTTAATCTTACCTTGTGATCACCCATGCACATATTTGGGCCGATTATACCATATTCTACTGCCTTGGAATCACCAATCTGTACAAAAGAATACAAATGTTATAACAGAATGATAAAATCTGCAATTCACTTTTAGAAGAATCGCTTTAATCGATCGCGAATATAAATTTCACAGGTACACATACTTCTTGTACTAGCGTTTTTGCAGTGGGGCTCAATAAAACCCGATCGCACCAAGCTGGCACTCTTGTTTGCATATAATTTACAGGTTCGTTAATATCTTCCTGAAACGGATAACTTGGCACAAAGTTGATTGGAAACTCAAATAATCTTCCTTCAAAATCTCCCAATTCTTTATCGTACTCGCGTAACTGCATAAATATTAAATTATTGGCATTCCAATCTATCTACTGAATATGTATTATATCATATATTTTACATTACATGTAAATGGAAAATATGTAACTTACCCATTCGCCATTATTTTTGATGAAAACATTCTGATGCTCGTAGTGAGAAAATTCTTTTTTGCCTAACGTTAATATAAGATCATCATTTTGGTTGTGAAATTGCAGTTTCGAAATATTTCCTTTATTTGATAACTTCTTTTCTTGAGTATTTTCTGTCAGTTTCTAGTAAAAATAAATTAAAATGCTGTAATACATTTGAATTTAATATAATTATTTCATTGATATATTTATAATAATATATACTATTCATTTGTGCTACAATAATTCAAAAATACCGCTATAGTACACAAAGTAAACCAATTGTTTTGTTAAATGTGGAAGTACAAATAATAATATTGCTTTTAATAATATAGATATTAATTTATGGTAATTGTTCACTTTAGGGGCGCCACTCTAATGACCTTGACCTTGACATATGTTGTCAAGGTCATGACCCTGAGTAACCTCCAACAAATTTAAGCCGTCGCTCACCCTTCGTTAAAAAGTTATTAACAATCATAGTTTAAAAATTAACATATGATGTATAATACATGTATGCTATTAAGTACTATTCTACACCTTTCCTTGTTCAGGAACGTTAAACTTTCCACGCGAAGTAACTTTTACCCCCTCCCCCCCCCCCCCCCC